CTTTGAATTCTCTTATATTTTTTGAAGCATCAGTAAACCCATTCAGTTGGAATTGTATGCAGCCTGAAAATATAGCCCTTCAATTCTGTACTCCAAACCACTGAAAATGATAATTGAAACACATGTGGGACACGGCATCCTACCTGGGCCGCTGGAAGCCCATGGGGCACCTTTGTGCAAACTGGGAAAACTATGGGCAGATGCAATGCTGAGTGGTGCGCGTCAGATGGAGAGCAAGGGCAGGGGGGACTTCAGGCTGGTTCACTCCCACAACTGGGCCCCAATGTGCCGAAGATGACCTGTCATTAATCACGCTCGTGGGCTATGCTCAAAGCTCCTGAGCTGGGGTCTAGTTTGAGTCTTTTGTTGGGCACATCAGGTAGGCTAAAGGCCAAAGATTCAGGGAAACTGAATAACAACCGAGAGAAATTTAAACTCAGAAGACAATGTCAAAGTCAGGTAAATGTGAATTTAAAGAGATCATATATAGTATTAAAAAGTTTTGGAGTTGGACTGAAATTCTAGTTTGGCCACTTATGAAGGCCACTTCATTACAACTCATTTAAAAAAATCTATAAAACAATGAAAATGCCATATTTCACAGAATCTAAGACGATGTGAACTAGAAGACCAATCCCCAATACAGACACTTTTAAAATGTAAAAAAAAAAAAAAAAAAAAAGCCAAATGGGATGGTTAAATGCATCCTGACAACACAGGTGTTAAGAGTGTAAAAACTGCATCTCTTAGAGTCTGTGACACATACAGTAAAACCCACTTGACAGGCGTGTCTCCTCCCTGTGAGGATTAAATGAGGTAACATAGGTCAAGTTCTCAGCCCAGCATGGAGTAAGTGCTCAATAAATTCTGGAGGCTGCTGTTCCTGCTGGTGTTGTCCTTGTAATTTGGAGCTGGCAACAAATAGTAACAAAAGGATATACTTGATCCGGGTCATCATAATCTAGCAAAACAACCTAGATGTTGTCTTTTCCCTGCTCCAGGGTAAGATACAAGAGGCAGACATGCCGGAGGTAGCTCCAGAAGTAACCCTCCAATGAAGTTAAGTACAGAACATGCACAGGACTGACAAATAGCAAAAACAGTCCTGTTTATTCTGCCAATGGAGACCCAGATCTGAGAAGCGATTTTCCCAAATCCCAAATGTACAAAAGAAACATTTTTTAAAAGGGCATTGGTCAAATGGGGGGTGGGGGGGGGGGGCGGGTCCTTTGAATTTGGAGTAGGGGAAAAAACTTCCAGAATGTTTTGCTAGCTTTTCTAGTTTTTTTTTTTCCTTGCCTCTCACTAACAGCTTCTATTACACTCCCTGTGATTTTTGAATTGAAAACCCGCTGTGCAGCCTCCTGTGATGTGAGTTTTCATTTAGGCCTGGAGGGGTCTGTGGAGGGATGACGAGGTCCCGAGAGGTGTCAGTCAAGCTCCTTCACCTGCCTCCAAGGCAGCTGTTTCTGGACGAGCCTGGAGTGGGCCTTAAGCCAGTGAACGGTCATTCATTGTCCTTTGTTGCCAAAGACAATGCTGCCAGTGGTAGAACAGTGATGTAAAAAAAATGAATGCCAGGACTCTAGTAAGTGAAAGCATGCCTGGCTTATGCCACCACCTCTAAAGCAGTCTGCTTCTTTTCCCAGTTTGGGCTCAGTGGCATTTTTAGAGACATGGATGGAAGCAGGGTGTCTATGAATGTGTGCAAAACCCCAGCCCATGTGAAGAAAAGCAGCCTAATGATCTTGTATATGGACAGGTAAATACAATAAAGATGGCTCTCAGACAGAAACAAGGACTCTATTATTTTCAGGGAGATTTTAAATTGGTAACTCCTTACAACTTCTTATTTCAACTTATTTCAACACCAGGATTGATGTAAATGGTATCTAGAAAAAGACAAAAAGGAGTTTGTGGCAAGGGTTTATCTCCCTAGTTGGGTTGGCTACTTTTAAGAAAGGGAAATCATATGGAAGTTCTGACTGACTGATGATACCACAGAATAATTAGGTATTATACAGTCACTACTAAATTGATGGACTTTAGGGAGTTTCGAGAAAGAAGGCAACTCAAGAGGCAGCTGTGGATCACAATGTCAGAGAAAGAAAAAACTACTCGAGATAGTGACAACCTGAACTTTAAACACGTGGGCTGACTGGTTTGCAGTTCACAAATACAGCTTTTGCTTCTTCTCTGCAGGCCAATTGCATGTGTGCCTCTTGGCATCCCAATCTTGCCTCGGGGTCCAGAGGCAGGATGTGGCCCAGTTTGGGAGCAGAGCTGAGTCACCATCCCATGCAGACAGGGCACATTCATGCCATGCTCCTGCCTCCTCCTTCCTAGATTCACTAAAGGACTCTTTCAGGACTGCAAATTGCATTTGATTCCATTTCTCCCTAAGAAAAAATGCACTCAGTAACATCCTAAATTTCCTGAAACTAGTGTCCTTCAAGGTTGCCTTGGAAATTTTAAATGTGTGTACAAGTTCTACCTTATACCTCCTTTGTCCTAACCTGGTGTCTGAGATGTCATGATGGCAGGTTACTCCCCATGGCCAAGCACCATGAGGGGCTTATTTCAGTAATGGGGTTGAGTCTCAATGACCCATTCACCTGGGCCCCCTTGGATCAGAGCACAGTTGAAAGGTAGGTGGCCAGGAGATGGGTCTCACTTTGTTATTTGCATAAAGTGAAGACTAACATTAGCTTTATAGGCATCACTGAATTAACTGTGTTCTTGGTAGCAAGGGAAGCTTGAATCTCAATATTGGTGTGAACTCTACTTGTTATTTTCTGGAAAAAAAACACAAAAGTTTACTTGCCCAGGTCTTCTCCTAGCATATCTGGACCCCTTGAGCATGAATTAACAGCAGTCGTCCTCCCTGGGCAGATCAATTACAGCCCTCACTTGGTCAGCCCTTGGCTCTTGGGCAGGACACACCTGAACAGCTTTTAAGGCAGCCCCCAAACTGCCTAATCTTCAGAATGTGGCAAACTTGCTCCACCGACATACGTTATTGCACCAAAATTATGGGGAATTTGTAGTTATTTCCATTGTACTCAGATTGAAAAACTATGTATATTAGTATAGTTAACTGGTGCCTTCCATCATTAGTATATTTCATTAATGTTGGAACAGTTTTATTTTGATTTACAGAGTAAGATTTTTTTAAGAGCAAAACTTTATATTATTTCTTACGGAGAAGCAGTTTATAAAAGATCTTTTCTCTTATCCCTCCAAGGATAAAAACATACCACTGGGTCCTTGAGGTCAGAGGATGCTGACGAATTGGCCCCCGTTCCACTGAAGTCTGCTTCCCCTTTCCCCTCCGCCTCCCCTTCAAAGGTAGACCATCACTGCCTGCTGTTTAGGACTGGGCTGCCCCTCAGCAGAGTGTCTGCCTTCCCACCTGAAGGAGATGAGCCTAGAATCAGTTTCCTTATGGGTCTGGGTAACTGGGCCCTCTGAGAATCAGATAAGCTATAGATGGATATTATCTTCAGAAAAATACAAACACTCCTAATCCCCAGTTTTTCTCATGCAGTTTTAGGGTGTTCTGGAATTCAGGTCAAGAAAGGGGTTTGAAATCTTTTTTTTCTTTGTGCCAGGGATCTTCTGGCAGTCTGATGACCTGACCCTCTCACGATAATAATCTGGTGCATAAAGTAAAATACATAGGCTTTTCAGAGAAACCAATTATATTGAAATAGTTATCAAAATTGTAAAACCTTTTGTGATACAGAATTATCTATGTACTTTTATATAAATGTATTAAATAAAAAGACCTAGTGGAGAGTCTAATAACCATTGTAATTTTTATGAACTGATGAGCACAAAGATAATATTACAAAGTCTGCCCCTCTGTGATGTGACATGAAAGCCTCTGTGACTTCCACTGGGTTCATCATTGAAGTGGTGCTAAGTTCAGTTAGAGGTTAGTAAGAATATAGGGGCATTTCTCTCCTATCAAGATCCAAACCTTAGGTCAAGAACCCCTGGGACACAAGGATTCCGAGTGTGGCTGCTGGGCATGGCTCTGGGTCTGGCTGCCTCAGCCCCTTTCTGTCTCAGGCCACAGAGGGGACTGTGGGGCTCCTGACTCCTGACCGAGACAACCTGAGCCTATCGTGATTTTTATATTCTGTTAGAAAAATTAAAGAGGATGCTCACAGTGGGTTCTGTCCTGTCGTCACATGTAGGGGGAGAAAAGGAGATAGTGGGAGAGACCTAGTGGGCCAGCTGTGAACCAGTAACTGCTGCCTTCTCCAGCACGGAGGTAAGGCACAGGGATCCCCTCTGCGAAGCTGCCCTGGGCGGCTGAGGCAGGAGAATTGCTTGAAACCAGGAGGTGGAGGTTGCAGTGAGCTGAGATTGTACCACTGGACTCCAGCCTGGGCAACACAGCGAGACTCTGTCTCAAAACAAACGAACAAAAAAAGGATTCAAGGCACATTTTACTGAGTTGCCTCTTGCCTTAATCTCACCTTTGCAGAGGTGTTCACCTAAGTGGGGAGCCCTCCATGGCATCCTCCATCCTAGGAAAGCACAATGGCTTGTATTTGCTTCTTATCCTCCCACCAGCTTACTGAATGATGCTAAAATATCAACCTTTGCCAAAAATGCTAAGTATAAGCTTTCGGAGGTGTAAGAGCGTTTCACCATACTTGAAATATGAAATGACATCTCACTGTATCCGTGCAGTTATGACTAGCTGAGCTACTGCTGAAACATACGAGGGAAAAGCAAGATTCTCTCATTGGGATGCTGGAGCTCAGGCCTGCCTGAGGATGAAAAGTTCAAGTGCTAGAAAGAAGAAAGTACTTTTCCTGATGGGTGGTGGGAGGGATCACACACTTCCTAGGGAAGGCCCTCAAAGTGGCTTCCTTGGCAGGGCTCTCTTGAAACGGGGCTTCGTGGCCATTTGGAGGCACATCATGACCTGATTTCCACCAGGAAAATGGTTTCTGAAAGAGGCTCACAGAATATAATCTGCTTACCAATTTTACTTCTTGCTTCATTTATACTTTCTCCCAGGGCCTTGGCTTCAGAAAACCTGGAGGGAAAAAAAATGAAAATCGTAGTTTTTCTGTTCATCCTACATGATGTTTTAAAAATAATAGATTTCTGAGAGCTCACTAAAATATGATGAAACTTCATTAAAAGACAAAAGAAAAGCTATAAATAAGTAAAATATATTAGGCTTAAAAACAGAGATGAAATTGGTATAAGTTATAGGTATTGTTAATTTTTACTCTATCCAGCACAGAATTTGCATTCTCGTAGTCTCTCATTTAGGACTTTTAATTTAGATTGTTTTATGATATAAGGATACCAGAATAAAGCCTGACTGTAAGGTTTCTGTACTGTGATCTATTGATTATGATACCAAGATCTTATAGCCAAAGAATATATACTTAAGTAACTTTTTCCTGATTATAAAGTAATATATCAGAGGTGGTAAAACTATGGCTAGTTATGAGACAAATCCAGCCTGCTGCCTGTTTCTGTCAATAAAGCTGTCCAGGAACACAGCCACCCTTATTCACTGATGCATTGTCTGTGGCTGCTTTCACGCTACAAGACAGAGTCAAGTAGATATGACAAGACTGCATGGCCTATAGTGCTGGAAACATTTTCTACCTGGCCCTTTGTAGAAGAATTTTGCTGATTCCTGTTATATATGATTATTAAACCTGATTTTGAAAATATAAAAACAAGAAAAAGAATTCCCAAGTATTTCTCTACCCAGAAATAAGCACATTTGATTCACACACCCTCCCAGTCTTTCATAGAGCCAGTTTTTATAGGGTTGGGATCATACTACAGATATCATTTTGTGCCCTGATGTTTTTTTCACTTAGCATTATAAGATAAGCCCTTCCCTGTATCATGAGACGTCTACCTTTCATGGCTGCATATTAGTGCACTAGATTGTTGTGCTAATGTTTAGTGAGTGATTCCTATGTTTATGAGACACCCACGATGAGCCAACTTTGTGCTAGAGAAGCCGATGGGACATGGCCTATGTGAGAAACACTTCGTTCAGTCCCTAACGTAGTGGGCCCTCATGAAATGTTAGTTGTTTCCCCCTCTCCTTTCTGCCATGAAGTTAAAGAGACCATTGAAAGCCTATGAAAGCAAGCACCTAATAGAGCTGAATTAAATGACTGTGCCTAGGGTAGTGCTGGTCATGCCATCAGCATGTGACCGGGGAGTGGCCTGTTTATGAGTGAGTGGGGAGCCATCCGGAGAGCATCACATACAAGGTGGGAGAGACCTGGGTTTTATGGATCCATGGAAATTTTTAGAAAATGTTTTATTACGAAAATTTCCAAATATACACGAAATAGAATAGTAGAATGAATGCTAACATACCCAGCATCACATTTTATTAATTGTCAATTTTATTTCAACTATCTCCCTCCTCCCCTCTCATCTTCTCGCTTCACACTCTCTCATATCCCAGCAAATCCCAGATATCCTACTGTTTCATCTTTGAACACTTTCGTTGCCTAGGATTGTGTTAGAGGAAGTGAGCAGAGGTGGGCATTCCAGGCAGGGGAACAACATAAGCAAAGGCCAGAGTGCCACGACTGCTCTGTGTTCGATGGAAAAGAAGTGTTAATTATGTCATCGCTATTTTCCAAATCTGTCTGCTTGGCCTGGGACTGCAGACAGGACGTTTCCAGGGAAGGGGACTAAACTTTCTGTCAATGTCAGCTTCTTGGGACTCTGCCTCTGGCTCCCTTACTAAAGCTGTTCAGGCTCATTGTAGATTCTGTATGTCCTCTCCTCAGCGATGGCCTGCTGCCTTCTAGGGAGAAATACAGTTCCACCTGATGCAATTCAGACATTGACATGATGCACAGGTCACTGTGCTGCACTCTGTGGGCTCACATGGCCTCTGCTGCTGGGCAGGCACAAGGCGAGGTTTGCTGCAGGCCCTTCAGAAGATGAGGACCATCTTCAACTCTCCATTCTGTCAAGGGAGGGCCCGTGACCATTTCATCACTGCTCTGTCCGTCCCTATTACCTAGGGTTGATAGGATCTGACAGTCACACACTGCTCAATGAATGACTCCTCTTATTTCCTGTTCCATAGAGTTCTGGAAGCTTTAGACTCTTTGGAATAAGGAAAGTACAACAGCAAGAGTGCAAAACTGCTGAAATTCACATTAACGCTAGAGGAAACCAGAATACAGACAGAAAGGGAAGATATAGCATGAGCAGAGGAGGGACTTTCCACTGTAGCGCTGCCTAAGGAAGCCCCGACAGGCCTGGGATAGAGTCCCCCAGCCTTGGCAGAGCCCAGATATGTCTGGGGAGCCTGGCAGAGGGAGCTGCTGAGTGCTGTGGTCAACTCTCTCCAAAGAGCCGCCCTGCTCCAGAGCTGGCAGAAACTGTGGGGAAAGCCACGAGCTGTTCCCGTCTCTCTGCTGCAGCCCAGTCCTGAGCTAAAAAGGGCTTTCCCACTGGAGAGGTGTGGTCTGAGGGCCATGCAGTCTTCATGAGACCATTTTCCCGTCACTCTGGAAGTTGTCACCACTCCAGGCCACCCCACCCACATGTGTTCCTGATCTCTGGTTGTCAAGACAAACTCTGAAAGGCCCAACCCTGAGTGTGGAGAGGAAAAGAGCAAGTGTCAAGGATGATGGGAGAGATGAGAAGGCTAAGGGCTCAGTTAGCAAAGATGCAAGAAAGCGGGGAGACCCCTTCAGTGCTGCCACGTTCTTCCTGGCCCACCTGCATCTCCACGCCTCTCCAGCCAGCCCAAGTCTCCCTCCCTCCTCACTTGCTCCCCTTCCTACTGCGCCTCATCTGAGTTCTGCTCACCTAGACTTCACCAGAGGGAGTTTCCTGCCTCCTGATTTTCTAAAAGGCACAGCCTCATCCATGAGATGGCTCAGGGAGCCAACTTTTGGCTAAGGGCACGTTGCACCTCTGTACAATATCCTAAGGTGCTGTTCACTGCTGAGGAGATGTGGCCTATGCCGATGAGGCTGGACCTTGAGGAGGGGCAGGGAGAAGGCTTTGTAACTCAGCCAGGACCACTGATGAGCGCCTGAGGGTTTCTTTCTACTGGTGCCAAAGCATTTCCTATTAGGGCATCATTAGTTGTGTGGCTGGCTTTGGGGAGTGTAAGGTAGTGTGGATGTAGGCAGCTGCCGTGTTTACCTGCACACACAATCCTGTGCAGGGGCAGGGGCTGGGCTTGGAATGCGATGCTCCTGGTGTTCTACTAGCCCGGCTTCCCATAACACTCAGCCCTCCTCATCTACGGCTGCCACAGTGTGCCAGGTAGGTACTTGCAGACCCCGACGAAGTGCTCTGTTATTGGCTTCCAAGGGCTCCGGCTCTCCTGCTTTTTCCCCTCTCTCTCTGGCATCTCCTTCGCAGTCCCCTTTGCTGATGTGTTCTGCTGCCTATTCCTTGAATGTCAGTAATTCTCAGGATTTTGTTCTAGGCCCACTCCTCACTCTCCCTGCTCCCTATAGGTATTCCCTATTGTTGCATCCCTGCTTCATATCATTGTTTCATATGATAGTCCCTATATGCCAGTGTCTCCTTGGCTATCTCAACTGACATCTCTCAAATCTCCACTTCAGCCCTGGCTTGGTTCCTGACTCAGGTATCCAATGGCCTGTTTGATACCTTGAAGGTAACTAAAAAGAACTAATCACCTGCCCTGAACGGCTCCCCTGTTCCTCCTGTTGGTTCTGTCTCAGTGCATGGCACCATCACTTACGGATGGCCCATGTCAGTAACCTGCACACCAACCTTTGCCCCTCTGTCCATTAGCGCCTTCCCTCAATCCTGGAGTCTCAGCCATTCTCCATCCTCAGTATCTGTTAGAGCATTCCACTTAGCTCCAACTGCCTGAGAGCAGAACGCTGCCATCTCTCTCCCAGATTATTGCGGCCACTGCTTGCTCCTTCCCCTGCATTAGCACTGCCTGTCTGCAGGCTAGTCCCCACATTTTAGCCTGAGTGATTCTTCTTAATGCAAACCTGATCCTGTTACTCCCCTGCTCAAAACTCTTCAAGTGCTCCCCAGTGACCTCGGGAGAAAGTTCAAATTCCCTAAGGTGGTGAAGCAGACTCTTCATGCTCTAGCTCCTGCTGCCTTCTCCAGCTTCCTCTCTTCCATCCCCCACAACCTTTCCAGGCTGGCCTGAATCTCTTTCAGCTTCATCAAGTGTCACACTGTCTCTCATCTTAGGGATGTTCCCTTTACCTGCAGCCTGTCTCTTCCTCTGGCTAATTTATGCCTGACCCCTCATCGATGGAAACATTGCTGTGGAAACACAGCGATGTCTCCTCCTCTGGATAGCTCTCCAGGACTGTGCAAGTCTACAACGCACGACACCCCCAGGTGCTCCCCAGCACCCTGCACTTCTGCCACTTCTAGGCAGACAGCATACTTTATGTGAATTTCCTGTTGACTTGTTTGTTTCCCTTTCAATATTGGGAGCTCCATGAGGACAGCAACCACATCTGCTTAATTCATTCTTATCTCTGGGGCTTAGAACAGGGGCTTGCAGCTAGTAGGCATTCCATAAATATTTGTAGAATAAAAGAAGATAAGCATGTGAGCAAGTGTGTACGCAAAGGCAACGTGTGCAAGTGAAGAGCACTGGACTGGAAGTCAGAAGTAAAATCACATGCCTACCTCACCTCTTAGCAGCTGGGTCTCAGGCTCTTCATTTCTAGGATTAGAATGAGATGCCTGTCAGGGCTGGGTTGATGTGGAAAGGGCATGTGTGGAAATGCATTTTTTGTGTGTGAATTACAATCATAGCCTGGAAGAGTAGGAACTCCCTGTAGGGAATGTGATGGACTGTGAGCTGGGAGTGTGTTGGAAGCAGTAACCACAGACAATAGTTTGTTTCAGCAAGCCAAAGGATTAGAAGGGATCTCTGCAAGTCAATATGGTCAAAGGCACTCACGACGGTTGCCGAGTTTCTCATCTTCAATGGGAATGAAAGGATGGGGGAATTGAGGGAAAATCTGATGTTAACTTCCAAGACCAGTTCCAGAAAGAATCCCATCCTGC